CAGCGGGCTAAGGACGGGGGGCCAATCCTCATGCCGTGTCTCCGCCGGCCGCCGCCCCTGGCCCAGCGTTGCTGCTGCTGCCCCCGTCCACTGTCGCGCTGTTGTTGTTGTTGTTGTTGTTGCTGGGGGCACCCCCGCCTCCCCCATTGGAGTTGTTAGCCTGAGCGCCCGAGCCCGTGGCAGCCACCTCGCCGGAGGCATTGCGGGCGTGGGCCGGGATGAGGGTGCCGTTCAGAGCTGGGGCTATGGCCAGTTCTGGGGAGCAGCAAGGAAACAAAACGGTTTTATTTCAAGAGATTCTTTGTTTAAATTTGGGGCACGTTTTTAGATTTAGTAAGAGTTTTACAGTACTTGCAACACAAACAGACCAAACAAGTGCTGAACATTAAAGGTGCTACTCGAGCGTAGTTTTGTTTAGTTTTAGTAGAAGTTTTACGGCGCTCGCAACTGCATAAGGTCATATGAGCGCCAGAAGATTAGAGGTGGTACAAGAGAGAGAGAGAGTAACAAACATAAAAAAGAAGAAGGGGGAGATAAGGACGATAGATGTTTGATAGGAAAGAAGAAGCAAACCACACCAGAGCACCCGCCAACCACCCACCTGGAGCGCAACATACACACAAAAAGAGGGAAGAGGGATAGGATAATAGATGTTGGAGTAAAGAGAAGCACATCCACACAACAATAACGGGTCACAATATAGTGCAGGAATGAAACAAATCAGATAGACAGATGGAGATATTGGCCCAAAATTTACACCTAGTGTCAAATTTGTAGATTTTTTTTTATTGATGCCGTATTCTCTAACTATAAAATGCCTTTTATTATGTCATACGTATACATTGTCAAAACTTCACCTATAAGCGAGATGTATCTATTTCCATAGGACTCGAATCTGAGAAGTAACTCATTTTGTCAGCACCATTTACATTTGGTGTTTGGGGGGGGGGGGGGGGAAAGAGAGAGCATGAAAGAAACAGAATGAAAAGAGGGGGAACTGTTCATTTCAAGTTTTACACCACTTGCAACACAATAACGTCATTTAAGTGACGCAGATTACAGGTGTTCCACAAGGGAGCAACAAACAAACACAGCCAAAAGCAGAGAGATAAAGACGATACATGTTGGAGCAAACCCCACCCGAGTACTTGCCGACCACCCACAGAAACTGTTGGTCAGTTTTTAGTTTAGCTTTAGTATGAGTTTTACGGCACTTGCAACACAATAAGGTCATAATATAAGTGCCGAAGATTAGAGGTGTTACAAGAAAGTAACATAGACAAAAAAGGAAGAGGAGAGATAAAGACGATACACGTTGAGATAGGAAAGAAGGAGCAAATCCCACCCGAATACTTGCCGACCACCCACAGAAACTGTTGGTCAGTTTTTAGTTTAGTCTTAGTAAGAGTTTTACAGCACTTGCCACACAATAAGGTCATACAAGTGCCGAAGATTAGAGGTGTTACAAGAAAGTAACATACACAAAAAAGGAGGAGGAGAGAGAAGGACGACAAGACGTTTGATAGGAAAGAAGGAGCAAACCCCACCCGAGTACTTGCCGACCACCAACAGAAATTGGTTATTAGTTGTTTTTTTTTGTAAAGTGTTTTACGGCGCTCGCAACTGCATAAGGTCATATGAGTGCGCGGAACACACCTAATATTTTCAGTAGGTAGGAAATTTTGAATTTTGCCCAGGTGGTGGCCGAAGCCTACTCTTATCGATTTTAGACCACCAAGGGATCTTTATATTAACGTGCGCAACTTGCACACGGGCCCTCCGAGATTTTTCGCCCTTGTCCGAGAAGGCTAGGTGTAGATCTTTCCTACCAGATGATCAGGGGTGTAGCAGAAAGACAGCAGTAAGGAGGAGCCAAGGAGTAGCAGTAGAAAGGCTGCAGAAAGAGTCAGGAGCCCAGAGGAGGGGGCAAAGGAGGTGAGGGGGTGGGGGCAGAAAGTGGAAATGAAAGCAGACAACAGAACATTGCTAGAGAGCAGGAAAGGAGGAGAAAGGAGACAATTTTAGAGAAGAACATTTTTCGGTCGCTACCCGGATTCGAACCCGGGACCTTTGAATGAGAGGCCAACACCTTAACCTCTAGGCCACGAGAGCCCCTTATTAGTTTTGAGTAAAGAGAAGCCCATGGACCCACTGACCTGTCTGGGTAAAGTTAAACAAGAGCGGGAGCTCCCTGCCGTTGGGTAACCGTGTGCTGGGCTCTCGTAGCTCGTCAAAGAAAGCGTGTGAGCAGGCCTCCAGCGGGGTGATGCGGCCCGACGGGGTGTACTCTAGCAGACGGCTCACCAGGAGGATGGCCTCTGACGGGGTGCGCGGCCGGAACACCTGACCAGGGGGAACAGACATGAGGGTTACTTAAATCATAATCATAATAACAATAACAACAATAATACTACAGGGCTTGCACAGCCATCCCACAGTGCAGAAGAACACCGGGGGGGTTACCTTTCCTGTACACAGGAATGCCAAATGATTTGAAAAAAAAAACCCAACTGAAAATGAGCGGAGCATCACACCTCACCAAAAACGAACCTTGTAAAG